GGTAAAATGTGGTCGGCGAGGTAAGCCAAAAGTGGTGCAGGACATTTCAGTTGGGACGAAGTGGAAAACAGAACAAATGACGCTGCTGAAGACATGCCACCTGAAGAAACCACTATCGAAGAAGAAACTCTACTCAGTTTTGAGAAGGGAAACGGTTAAGCTCTTGGTGAAGTTACTACCACTGATGTGACTGTTACCGATGATTGGACATTTACTGATGAAACGGATGAACCCCACATGAAGCAGAAGCCAATGAGATGGAGACCAGTACGGAAGAAGATACGTCCCGTAAAATTAAGAGACTTTGTTGAATTGTAATTTTGTGTTTGTAATTCTGTACAGTTAATTAAGTTTGTGTTATTGTTATTGGTTTATCATATGTGGTTATTGTTCGGGACGAACAATATTAAGGAGGGGGCAGTGTTGCGTCAGCGAGTCACATGACCACCGTGACGCAACGTTTCTAGAACTATCATGTACTTTGGCGAATGTTCAAGTTCTTACTAGATATAGGGTAGGCGGATATATATAAGAGGGGACAACGTGACGCGGTAAGGTATAGATAGTGAGTAACTGAACTGCAGTCGGAAGTATTGTTGACGTTCGTTGATTAGCGTTTGTTTTAATGCGATTGTTGAAGTTAAGTGTATCGGTAAAGTTATATTCGGAAAGAATAAACCAGTTTTATTAAGAAAGAACTTGTGTCGCTTAAGTTTCATCGGAACGAAGTTACGGAAAATCAATTAACAAACGGAGACGTAACAATATTATACATGGCAATTCAAATTATAGAAATATCATCCCTTTTTAAAAAAAATTAGCAAAACAGGTTTCTTTTCACATTCTTCAAAACACCAATTCAATATATATCAATAATAAGAAATATTACAAAAAACTTTCACATCTACAGCATGACACATGACTTTGGAATGGGTACTATGCTTGTCTCAAAAGTGAACTTTAACCTGGGGTGTATAGGTTACATTTTTGGCAATAATTATAGTTTGATGTTTGTACTGGTAGCTCATCTAAGTCATTTTGTTATTTCCAATAAAGTGAGTTTCAAAGTTGTCTAAAGTACTATTAACCTCACATTTTGTAGAAGCCATATTAATCCTTGTCTTATTTCCTTCAAACAATCTAGACAGATCTTCATAGCCCCCTAATGGTGATAGTTTCATTTCAGGATCAGTACATCCATCACCACCACATCTTTCAGGAATATTTTCAAAAGATAGAGACTTTGAAGCAGACACTGGTTGAAATAAGCTCCTTGGCAAAGTATTTCTTCTACGCAAACAATTAAAAACAATTAACTGAAAATACTCATTCAATTTTAACAAAATAAAAAAAAGTTTAGCTTTTTTTTTTCTTTCCAACATTTCTTGTCAAAATTATGAGAGAACTAATATTTGCTAAAATCATTAAATATGTATATAAGATGGTGGAAATGGGTTACAATAAATAAAGCAGAACTTCCAATACCAAAACTCAATATAACAAAAATGAAAAATACAGTAATGGGTCCAAAGCCAAGGAAATTACAGACACATTAAATTTAGATGTTAATAATAATATTCTGTTAAACTAGAAAGTTCAAGTCAAACTGGAAATTTTTTTTAATTTCTCTTATCAACCTTAAATACTGGTTATATTTTGGAAACTACAGATATATAAGTTATGTAAGAATATTTAAACCTAGTAATTCTTTTCACTTTATAATGGGTAAATACAGAAAAGAAATCTAAAGGATATGATAAAAATTTACAATTTTAGAATCAAAACTGACCTCAAACAGATACGTACTTCTGAATGGACAAAAGATTATAATTTCTCCAACTTATAAAATATCTTTTGATTTCCTTATTCCAAAAGGATTTTACAAATTCACAAGACATACCTGTACTAACAAACAGTGTCCAGATAACCTGACATTTATTATATTACAATTTCTCTTAATTTGAATCCTTATAAAGGAAGGAAAGATGACAGTGAATGAATATTCTAAAAAATAAGTATCAATCTCAATTTAATTCATATGAAAAATGTTGATTTAAAATACAATAACTTATCACTAGATAAACAGGAAACTAGAATCTCTATATGGATGCTGAAGATAGTTCCAGAAGCAGGCAGAATCATTTATGTATAACATTGCAAAATATTACCTTCCTGTTAGGGTGATTCATACATGCATATGTTTTCATACATAAAAGGCTAAGCTTGAACATGCATACTGTTGTCTTGAGAAATCTAGTAATTTCATTTACATAAAACCGTATATCACAGGTCATTCACTTAAATATTTCAATTCTGAAAAAGCATATTTAAAAACTTATTTCACTTTTATGTTACTAACTTATTAATAATAATTCAAATAAAAATAGTGTGCTTCTCTATATATATTCTAATGCAATATTTAAAATGATACTGATTGTGGTCATAAGAATGCTGCTAATACATTCTGAAGATGAATAGAAATGCAAAAGAGATGTAGGATTACTTAGTATTTATTGGTTGCAGGGAAATGTCAGACCTATTATCACATGTTGTTGTAAACTGTCACATCATACCATGTGTGAATAGTAGTCTTGCAGCCTTAGAAACAGTTGCTGTTGTTTTGTAACAGTTAGAAGAACAAGAATTTATTGATTATTCAAACTTGACTCTGATACCAGAGCATGATGTGTGTCTTAATTACTTTCACTTGAGAGAGAATACGAGCTAGATCTGACTAATATTACCAGTAGGTAATTGATTAAAGTTGTGCAAGCTAATGTATAATATTAGGTCGTCAAGAAGTTAATGTTGCGTTTTAAAACACTTTCATTAACCCCCCCCCCCAAAAAAAAACGTGCATCACATATAAGAGTTAAACGAACTGCCTAAACGTCACGTTAGTGTAGCCTATATAATGTGTAAAGTTTAGTATACGCTAATCCGTTATACTAATGGCCCACAACGAGACATACATTCAGCATGTAGCCACAAAGAAATTTATAGAAATGTTTTGAGCATTTGTAAGCGTCAACGATAGTTTGGCAAATTTCATTCATGTGACTTTAGCTTTAAAAACTGTGATGGCAGGAACCGACATGTTGAAATTGATATTGAAGCTCTGTAGATGCTTGTTGAATCTAACCCAAGGCAACACACTTGTGAAATGACCCTGAAATTGCATGTCTCTCATGAAATAATACGTAAACATCTAAGGAATATGAGAAACCTACATAAAGAAGGTGTTTGGGTGCCTCACGAACTCTCCGATGATCATCGTTTCCAACGTGTGAATGTTGCTTCGTCTCTTCTGGCGCATAATGCACGTGAACCATTTTTGGACAGAATTGTCACTTTGATGAAAAATGGATTCTCTATGCAAATATTAAACGCCAAAAAACAATGGCTCAGACCTAGACAAAACCACTTACGACCCAAAAACCTGGACTCCATCCGCAGAAAGTGATGCTTTGCATTTGGTGGGACATCAAAGGAGTAATTCATTTCGAACTCTTCAATCCACAGCGAACCGTTAAAGCAGAGATCTATAGTCAGCAACTGGAATATTTAAATCAAACCCTACATCAGAAACGCCCTTCACTTGTCAATCAGAAAAGTGTTCTTCTTCACGACAATGCATGTCCACATGTGGCACATTGATGCAACACAAGATTATGGAGTTGGGTTGGGAAGTTCTCCCCCACCCACCATATTCTCCTGATATGGCACCATCAGATTACCATATTTTTAGTTCGCTGCAACACCATCTTAATGGGAAAATATATACAAATATGGAAGGTGTTAAAAAGGACATCGAAATGCTTTTTCCTTCCAAGCCAAGTGATTTCTTTAATCAGAACATTAACAACCTGATTGTAAGATGGAAAAGCATCATCGATAAGAATGGAGACTATTTC